TCGGGGACTTGAAGAAAGCCGCTGATTAGGTAATTTAATTACCAAAATTTTGGAAGAAATTCCCTTCATCGTCTAATACTTTCCCTTTCAAAATTCCAGCAATCATGCAAATTAAGGATTACGCCGTGCCAGTGCCGCATATTTCACTGACGGATGAACGGGGAGGAACTCAATCAAAGAGCTTGTCACTACATGTCTACAAACCAGCAATCGGCCCGCTTGCTGAATCCTTCATACCCCTTGAAGGGTGCTTTCATCTCGAAGATTGGACTAGCAAGTGGACCAAGGAAGTGGTGGCACCGTCGACCTTCTCCACTACATCGAGGGAAGAAGAAGTGGTCGCATTAAACTCGTCGCTTCACAATGGAGATCCAGAAATAGCCAAATTCACGCTTCCGTTCGTGGGCTTCAATGTTGACAAAGCTACATGGAAAACCCCTTCGTCCTTCTTTGGTGAGGCGTGCTTCACTTCTCATTATTGGGAGTGGGTTGAAGACATGCTTGGAAGGTATAAAGACGTACTCACACGCGCTGGCATATTTGAAGCCGTCTACGCGTCGAGATACTCCTACGACTACTGTGAAAATATCTTGCGAGCCTTCTTCAAATATTGGTGTCCCTCGACGAACACACTTCATACGCCCGTTGGGGAGTTGTCCATCACACTTTGGGACCTTTATCGACTTGGTGGCCTTTCCATCGATGGCACATTTTTCGATGAAGTTGTTCCTTCGGCGCGGGAGCTCCTCACTCGTGACAAAGAAGGGAAACCACTTCTCCCTGAGAGTTGCAGGCATCTTTTTTCGGCTTACTACCACCTCTGGACGAATGACCAAGGGGTATGGATGAAGGACTGGATTCGCTTCTGGTTCAAAGGAGAGGCTAGGTATAGGGCTCCTCCGAGTAGAGCGAATAGAAGGAAGACCGCATCTAAACTAAAAATGACTTACAACCCTTCTGGAAGCGTGGAGCCTTACGACCTTGCCGATACGAATGACTTCAATGTCCCTTTTGACACCCTGGGTATCCCAGGGTCTCTAAGAAAGGAGACATATATTGCGGCATTCATAGCGTGTTGGATCTGCAAGTTCCTTTTGCCAAGCAAAAAGGTCGACCGTATTCGCCCAAGTGTTTTCAAGGTTGCATGCTTAATGGCTACAGGAAAAAGATTTTGTCTTGCAATTCCCGTCCTTGCGAGCATATATCATGGGTTGAGGGAGATCGTCCACGCCCCTAACCTTGGAGAATGTGGGGTAACTTTTCCAATCCATTACGTCTATGCTTGGATTGGTCAATACTTCGATGTATATTACGAAAATCATCAAGTGAGTAGCCACCACGCGCGCATGACAAGATTTAGTGGTGAGAAAATGGTAATATTTTATGGCCAATTGGAAGCTGAGGAAATCTTCAAAGAAACGAATCCTTTGATGCTTCCTAAATTGTGCTGGACTGAGAACAGAGAAAAGGCGTTGATCGATGACGGATCCTTATCATCGAGACTCACGAGCTACTTCATTAGTCAACGCTCTTGCCATTTAACTCTACGTAAGGACAATACTTTCATTATTGAAAAATATAATCCTTGCAGGTTCAGCAGGCAATTCGGTTTTTGTCAGGACATCCCCAACAACTTGAAAGAGATCACTCACACTTACACCTTAGGTGAAACTATTCAACTATGGGATTCCTCAGTTCGCACGCAGACGCGGTCTCGAATGACTATACCCATGCACAGGAAGCATCCATTGATCACAAAAGACTATGATGCCTGGTGGTCGACTCGGTCAAATAGTATCTCTTCGACTCCCTTAAAATTCACTGTTAAGATCCCTCAGCAATCAATGAAGAAGGGTAAGGTTACCTCCGCCAACGAGTCAGTGCATCCTAATGGAGTTATAGAGATTGTAACGGGTCTTACCTCATCCACCTTGCGGAAGAACAAAACCATTAGCAGCCCCTTGGAAAACGTTGTTACAAGAAATAAGCCTTCCAAGAACTCTCGACAGGCCATCAAAGAGGCGCAACCAGTGATTCCAGCAAAGAAGATGCCGCCCAAGGTTTCAAAATCTTTATCAGTGACTCACACAGAAGGAGACGTCGAAATTGAAACGATGGACGACCGTGATTCTCTCGAGGCTATAGAACAAGAAGTAACTCAAACTCAGGGCATCGAATCTACCCAAAGAGGAGCCCATTCGTTGGCGAGTGGCAGTAGTAGCCAAGACCGTCATTGGAACCGGTCGAAGAAGAGGACATCTTCTGATTTGGAGGAAATTTCCTTTTCACCACCGTCGGTTGGAGTGTCGCCGCTTAAGGTAATCATATCTTCCTCTTTTTTTTTTTTTTTAAACCTTCATAACACATTTTTTTTTCATCCCCCACTTCTTGAATTCCACCAAGAAGATGTTGGTACCAATTCACCACTTGAACTTGAGACTGATGCTATAATTTCAAACAAGAAAGGTGACAAAGTCGTTATCAGCATCCCAAAGCAACTTGCCCCCAGTGGAGGTGCTTTGTCAAAGAAGGAGCTGACTAATTTGCACGAAATCCGAAAAAAATCTAAGGTAGCATTGGTTTCAGAATTTCATGGTCAAAAATTGATCCAGGCGCATCGAAGGAAGTACTTGCAGAGTTTGTGGATGGATTTTCGCGAACAGATTCTTGACACTCCAACTGAGCAGATCTCTTCTTTAAAAGAGTGTGCAGAGAAAATCATTGCGAAAATCACAAGAACGGATCCTACCAATGGTCTCCCTTTAAAAGATCACTTGATGGAATTATTTGCCAAGGCGGAGGCATATGATGCTCTGGCATCCTCATCGTGGGAAAGGATGAGCAAAGAAACACATGCAGAACTTCTTTCCAACGCGACCGTCCAACTCGAGAGAGTTAAGGCAAAGGAAGAAGGACTAACTTGTCACTTGCAAAGTCTTGAAGAAAAGTTGCAGTCCATTGAAGATAGGAAGAAGGTTCTGCAACAGGAACTCATCAGTTTGGAGAAACAAGGCCTGGAAATCAGTTCGACTATCGATCAAAAGCATGAGACCTTCAAGGAGATCCAGACTGAAATAACCCAAGCGCATGATGAGCTATCTTCCATTGAAAATACTAGCATCATGACTGATGACGCAATGAAGGAACTTGAAGACATGAAATCTGCACTTGAATCATATAAAGTAGCTGTAGTGGAATACAAATTTGATATTTAGACTTTCCACCATGTTCTTCTTTCCCTTGAATTATCTTATCACTCATTTTTTTCCATGTAATGAGTTTTTCTTTTGAATAATAAAATGCTTTTCATTTCTTATCTCTTTTAGAACTCAAATGGAGCATTTTATTTTTTATATATATATTTTTTATTTTTTTGGAAAGAGAAAATTCTTTTTCATTTTTTTTTGTAAGGGACAAGGATTTGATTTGGAGTGGTGTAACTGAACTTAGAAGTTGCCCTCTAAGCTGCCTACGTATCCCAACAAGGGAATCAAGTCACACGTAGTTCCTGCCGTTCACATTTTAACCTCATGCGGGCCAGGAGTATCTATTTGTTTACCACCTTAGATTTGGTGGAGTGTTTCAGCAGTTTTACCACATACTACACCATTGGTGGTTGCCATCCACAGTTTTAACTCATGTGGGCCAGGAGCCTGGCGCGGTTCCGATTACGCATAGTACCTTTTTAGGTACTTGCCATTGATGGGGCCAACCCTTAATCCATCTTCAGCAACCAACTTATATGAGCCATTTGTATATACTTTTCGAACGACATATGGACCATCCCACTTAGGAGTAAACTTTCTTTGTCCGCCATGAGTGAGAATGATTGGTCTCCGAACGGCGAGTACTAACTCTCCAATTTGGAAAGAGCGGGGTCGAACGTGCTTATTGAATGCCTTTGAAAGGCGAGCCTGATAGCACTCAATCCGTTGCTGAGCTTCCAATCTCTTTTCGTCGAGTGCTTCTAATTCCTCGAGGCGAAGAAGAACATTATCTTCTCCACTGAGTCCTTCTTGAATTGCAATTCTTAGCGAAGGTATTTGACACTCAAGTGGAAGAACAGCTTCAACACCGTAAACAAGCGCATATGGGGTTGCTTGTGTGGGAGTTCGAAAAGTAGTTCTGTATGCCCAAAGCGCTTCTCCAATTCGAAGATGCCAATCCCTTTTCGATTTATCCACGATTTTCTTCAACAGATTACATAAGGTCTTGTTGAATGCTTCAGCGAGTCCATTTGCGGCAGCGTAGTACATGGACGAATTGTATTGTTTGAAATGAAATTTTTCGCAAAGTTTGTTCATTGCTACATTGCAAAAAGGCTTACCATTATCGGTGATGATATAACGCGGGACCCCATATCGATAAATGATGTGCACGCGGATAAAATCTACTACATTCTCCTTTTTGACCTCTCTTAGAGGAACCGCTTCAGCCCACTTTGAAAAGTAATCTGTCGCCGTCAAAATGAAAATGTGTCCGCCAGAAGATTTTGGAAGTGGTCCAACTATATCCAAACCCCAAGCATCGAACGGCCAAGACGCCACAGTTGGATGCAATGGTTCAGGAGGTTGACGGATGAAATTGCCATGGAATTGACAAGCTTGACATCTTCTAGCAAAATCGATACAGTCCTTCACCATTGTTGGCCAGTAGTATCCCATTCTTTTAATGCGAAAGTGTAATTTCGGGCCAGATTGGTGAGCACCACATATCCCAGAGTGAGCCTCTTCCATTGCTTGCATGGCCTCATCTTCCCCAAGACATCGTAGAAACACCCCATCGAATGATCTTCGGTAAAGAGTCCCTTTGTAGTAAATGAAACGTGGCGCTCGACGACGTATATCAACCATTTTCTTGGGATCTTCTGGTAACTTCCCATGACTAAGGTAATCTACTATGAGATGACGCCAATCCTCCTTTTCGATCTCATGGACAAAAATATGATAAGTATTTTCTTCCTCACCATCGTCATTTTCATCAAACATCGGAGGTATGACCTAATTTTGGCATATTGAAATTTGATTTCGATGAGAAGGTAGAGTGATCATGGACGCCACCCTTGCCAAAGAATCAGCTTGTTGGTTGAAATTTCTTGGGATATGTTCTATAGTGACATTACTTAAATATCCCATGAGTTGCCTTGCATACTTATAATATGGGATCAATTCTGGTTTCTTGACATCATAAACACCAAGAAGTTGATTTACCACCAATTTTGAATCACCATAGACTCTAAGATGCAACTGCTTCATGTCTATAGCCGTTTCAAGATCGAGAATCAACGCCTGATATTCAGCCACATTGTTGGAACACCGGCGTGTTAAAGTGAAAGAGTATGGCAATATATCTGCTTCAGGAGTATAGAAGACAACTCCCGCACCAGCTCCATCACGGTGAGCAGCTCCATCGAAATACATTGACCACGACGATTCGACCATAAACACTTCTTCATCGGGAAGTTCATCAGTCAACTCCCACTCAGCAGGTAGGGGATGATCGGCTAAAAAGTCTGCTAATATTTATCCTTTGACAGCCTTCGCAGGTACGTAAATAATTTCAAACTGTTGAAACTGAAGGTACCATCTGGCGAGTCGATCAGACAGTACAGGTTTTGCCATGACATATTTAATGGGATTAGACTTAGATATGAGTCGAATAGTGTGTGCTTGAAAGTAATGTTTCAACTTCTGAATGACAAATATGAGTGCCAAACACAACTTCTCGATGGGTGAGTAGTTCAACTCATTAGATGTCATCATCCTGCTCAAGTAATACAGTGCATTCTCCTTACCTTCATCATTTTCTTGAGCGAGTAAGGCCCCAACCGACCGTTCTTGAGCGGAAATATAGAGAATCAATGGTTTTCCTGGAATGGGCGCAGCCAGCACTGGGGGATTCATGAGATACGCCTTGATGCTTGTAAAAGCATTCCTACACGATTCATCCCACTCGAAGGGTACCCCTTTCTTCATCAGTCTACTAAAGGGTTGGCATCGCCCGGCCAAATTAGAGATAAACCTCCGGATATATGCCAACTTCCCTTGAAGGCTCTTCAATTCATGAATATTTCACAGTTCAGGCATGTTCACAATGGCATCAATTTTTGATCGATCGACTTCTATTCCCCGTTGATGAACGATGAAACCAAGAAACTTGCCAGAAGTGACTCCGAATGCGCATTTCAAAGGATTCATCTTTAATTGGTATCTCCGAAGGCGTTGGAAAACTTTTCGAAGGTCTTGAATATGATCCTCTCGCTTCTTTGATTTCACCACAAGGTCATCAACGTAGCACTCCACGTTTCTATGGAGCATATCATCAAATATTCTTTGCATTGCCCTTTGATATGTCGCTCCAGCATTTTTCAAGCCAAACGGCATTACTTTATAGCAATAAATCCCCTTGGGGGTGCGGAAGGCAGTTAGCTCCTCATCCTCGGGCGCCATGCGTATTTGATTGTAGCCAGACGATCCATCGAGAAAAGATAGTGTTTCATGCCCGGTTGTAGCATCTACCGTCAATTCTGTGATGGGGAGAGGAAAATCATCTTTGGGGCAAGCCTCGTTTAAGTCTCGAAAGTCAACACAAACTCGAATTTGCCCATTCTTTTTCCTTACAGGGACGATGCTTGAAATCCATGTTGGATATTTTACTTCTCGTATGAATCCGGCTTCAATCAATCGATTTATCTCATTTTCTATCAGAGGGATCAATTCGGGCCGAAAGCGCCTTTGCGTTTGCTTGACAGGTTTTGTTCCTCGCTTGACAGACAAATTATGAACGGCGACCCTTGGATCCAAACCAGGCATTTCTGAGTAATTCCAGGCAAAGACGTCCCTGAACTCGAGCAGCAAATCAACATACTCTTTTTCTTCTTCAGGAGTCATACAAGAGCTTATGTAAATTGGGCGAGGATCGTCGCTTGTGCCAAGGTTAATCTCTTTTAGCTCATCGACTGTATTTTTTGCCCCTTGCTCAAGTTCAGGGGGAGCGTCATCTGCATCTTCTTCTTCTTCTTCGGGATCACTGATCGTAATATGGTGACAGGAAGCCATACTTTCTTGACCCTGTTCTTCAAAAATGGTTTCAATTCTTACATTGACTAAGTCTCCATAGTGTATGAAGAAATTGGAGACTCGCTTTCTTGGTCCGTTCTTCTTTATTGGAGTAAGACTTTCTTCCCTGGCAACTTGGTACTCTTGTTTTTTACTGCCTAATCTCTCATAGACGGGCGACTTCAGATTTTTCGGCTGCGGGCCAAGTCTGTCAAACACAGAAGTGCGTTTTGACTTATTTCCCAATCGGTCGAACACAGATCTCTTTCGGTTTGTGACCTCCATTTCTTCGTTCACATAGTTACAACTCGCTCTTTTGATCATTATACGAACAGGAGAGCGCGGTTGATAACCAAGACCCATCGATGAACTTTCAACATTATAGCCCCTTTCTTTCAACATTTTCTGCGTAGGTGTCAATCCGTGAGTTTTCTCGCCAGTCACTTCAGGAGGGAGTTTGCCCAATGTATTCTTCTCATTTGGGTTATAACCCGCCTTAGCAAGAAGTCTATAGGCGTTTGGATCAAAACCTTCTTGAGTCCGATTAGTTGGTAGCGAGTAATGTTCCACTGCCGGTTCTTCTTTGGGACGGACAAACCCTTGCAAGCTCACCTTCTCAATTTTGACAGGCTCTATCTTGGTGAGCGGAATATTTAATGTGTCATTTCTGATAAAAGAAGACTGACCTTCTTCTCTCTTTGATTTTGGAGTATACCGCAAAATGGGTACTTTGGAATCTTGACTTTCTTCCCTTACCGATTCCTTTCTTTTTGCTTCTTTGTGAAGATAAAATTTGGCGTCGGCAAAGTGAGTTTCGGCTTCCGTGAACGGTTTGTCGTCGGCAGTGACTTTCTTAACAATACCGTCTCGACAATACTTGAAACATTGATGCAGAGTAGATGGTATAATTTCATTCTCGTGAATCCAGGGCTTTCCCAAGAGCATGTTATAAGAGGTTGTGGCTTCAATGATATGAAATAACGCACTTGAAGACAGCTCACCAATGAGCAATTCAAGCCTTATGAGGCCAATTGCTCTTTGCCCCCCTTGGTTAAATCCTTGGATCATGAGGCGGCTCTGGGAGAGTTCATCACTTGAGATTCCTAACTCTTTCATAGCACGTACGGACATGATATTGACGGCAGATCCCCCATCAATGAGTATCCGATTCATCTTTTGTTCTCGAACATATGCACTAACAAACAAAGGTCGATTGTGGGTCTTGAACTCAACAGTTAAATCGTCATCATCAAAAATGATGGTCGTCGCACAATTCACCGGTGGTTTATCATCGACTTTGAGTTTTTTCTCAAATTCAGTGCCAATTTGTGTGACTTGAGGATTTTCAGCTTTGACGACATTGCAAGAAGTGGAATTATCAGTATCGTCACTTAAATACCCCTTGGGTATAAATTCTCTCAATGTCACGGGCTGTCGAACCTCTTGAAGAAGCTGAAAATCTGACGAAATTGGTGTTGTGGCGACTCCCTTTTGTTTCTTTGTCGCATTTCGTCGTTTCATCGTCACTTTCGGCTTTGTCGAATGAATGCTTTTCGAAAAGATGTACTTCTTTATTTTTGGCTTGCAAGTCCTCTTTCGAGTGACTAAAGTCCATCCTTCGTTGTCATCTTCAATAACATTTTCAATTGACGATTTTTCAAACTCCGTTTGTACAGACAGAGCACTGTTTGATGTGGGTAGAACTTCTATCGGACAACACACAGACCCAAACATTATTGTTGTTTGGTTCGCCGATGCTTTATCCTCCTCAAGAAGGATTTTTCCTTGGCGGGCTAATTCCATAATTTTGTCCTTAAAAACAAAGCATTTAGTGAGAGGGTGACCAATCAAGCGGTGATAACAGCAATAATTCGGATCATTGACTTGACCGGCTTCCTCCGGTCGCTTCATGTCGGGAAGTTCAAGGAGCTTCTCCTTGAAAAGATCATCAAACATTCCTTGTAAGTCGGACTCAAGGAAAGGGTATTCTTTTTCTTGCATCTCTTTTAACGTGGGTCTTCTTATTGACCTATTTTGAGATGGATCCAACTTCTCAGTGACCTTTCGGCTCACTTTGGTAGCAATTTTCATGGGAGCTGTATTTATTGCCATGGACTCCTTATTACTGAATTTTGAAGGAGGTTTGCCCCCTTTTTTATTTTCTTGCCTGTCATTGCTTTGACGAGATGGCTGCACTCGCGGAGCTTGAATAGGAAACCCATCGGTTGCATTGGCCGTGATGCTTAACTCCATGTCATGAGCACGAGTAGCTAATTCTTCAAACGTGTTTGGACGTATACCCTGTAGAATGTAGCTTAGGCTCCAATGCATTCCTCGGATGCACATTTCTATGGCAGAGGGTTCAGACAGCCTGTCCTTGCAGTTGAGACTCAGACTTCTCCACCTATCAATGTAGTTGACCACAGGTTCATCCTTCCATTGACGAGTGTTAGTCAACTCCAGCATACTGACGGTTCTTCTAGTGCTGTAGAAGCGATTCAAGAACTCTTGTTCCAACTGTTCCCAATTGTCGATGGACCCCGGAGTGAGATCAGTGTACCAATCAAACGCGTTGCCCTTCAAGGATCGGACGGACTGTTTGACTAGAAGGTCGCCATAGGTTCCAGCGTTGTTGCAGGTTTCGACAAAATGGGCCACATGTTGTTTTGGACTACCCTTCCCATCGAATTGTTGAAATTTAGGCGGTTGATATCCAGCAGGCATTGCGAGATTGTCAATTCTAGCAGTGTAAGGCTTGCAGTAGGTAAAGCTTGACTTTGAACCACCCTCCTTTTTATCTTTGATCACGCCTTCAACAAGTTCTTTTAGTTGTTCCACGGGAATAGTTCCATCGGCGGTCACATATACTTCCTTCACCTTGTCTTTGCCTTTAGACGAGGGAATTTCACGCTCTTGGTTCGCATGGCTTCCTTCAGGAGCGCGATCTTTTTGGGTGAGCAGTTGAGCGATAAGAGCATCTTGGTCCTTGATGTGTTTCATCATAGTCTCCATCATCTTGGACATGTTCGAAACTTGTTCTTCAAGACTTAAAGCATTTGTCATCATAGCAGGCATTGCAGTAGAAGAAGCAGCAGAATCTTCAATTGAAAATCTTGAATGAAGAGTTTCATGTGAAGAGGCTGATCCAGTACTTGATGAATCATCGTCATCCTTAGAGAACTTGGATTCGGATCCAAGTTCGAGCATGGCAAGAGCCTTCTCAATCGAGGTGAAAACGTCTTGGACCCCCATCGTGGAGGAATAGCTCATTTGTGATGTTGACCCGAAGACAGGGGTTGGCGCCGAGGGTTCCATGCTACTTTGGGTGGAGGCCCTCGTCATACTCCTTGTCACGGGGCCAATAACGCGGGTATTGGTGGCAACGTGTGCAGCTTCCTGAACAGGCTTAGCATCAGTAGCCTTGGAACGTGCAATCACGATTTTGTTGCTCTTTGGTGCCATTGGTGATAGACGGAGTTGAATATTCGAGGAGAAGAGATGGAAGGCAGAAATAGTCCCACCGGGCGTGCCAAAAATTTGTACGCGATAAAAATTTCAAGTCTGCAAAACGACAAGAAAAATACACGACAAATATATGATATATAAATTTAGAAAAATATGTAGGTACAATCTCTGAGATTTTCTCGAACTTGTGGAGAGTTTCCCTCGATTCTTCTCCTCGAACGCCAATCCAAGGGCTTCGCAGCTTGTTCTTGGATCCACCACCGATTCCTTCAAATCTTGATATAGAAGATTTGAAGAACTTTAGAAGATATTTGAAGACTCAAGTCTTGATATCTGGGAGACTTGGAGAGCTTGAAGAGCCGAACCTTTGTAGCTTGGAGCTTCAATGCTTTGAGCGTATATGATGCTCTTTTGATATCTCTGTGTCCCCTTAACTTGGTTGAGAGACCTCT